GACTGTCTCTCTGACTCTGACTGTCTCTCTGACTCTGACTGTCTCTCTGACTCTGTCTCTCTCTCTCTTCCCGTCTCGCTGCCTGTTCTGTGGAAACGATGCAATTAGACAAAAATCTGCTGACCGTCCTCGGAGTTCACCGCTGCTCCGTCACAAACAACAAGTTCATCTTTCTCAGTTTTTAGTTTGGACCCGTGAGCTGTTCTGATCAAAGGCAGGAGGTGAGGACGAAACATTCACACGTGTAAACTAATAAAGTCGTTTATTTCATCAAATGGACTTCCTGGCGTTGAGATGGAGTTCACGTCGCGCCTTTGTTTGATTGGCTCTGCTGCTTTGGGTTTAATCCTGCTGGTTTGGGGAGTGTTTGAATTGGATTACTCCAGCGTTGGGCTTGGGTACTGTTTCTCTGGCTTCGACAAGATGGTGTGCGGTGAGTGTGTGTGTGTGTGTGTGTGTGTGTGTTCGTTCTTCAATACCGAATCAGCTGAAACCACAGACAGCCCAATCGGAGCGCCGTCCAAATCCCTCTGCATGCAAATTAAAAACGCAACAATAAACGTGGCAAAGGAACAAGGTGGGCACGCAGGCTTTATGGCCCCCTCTGCTCGCCCCCCACCCACCTCTCCCTTCCTCCCTCCCCTCTTTATGTCTCCCCCCCCACCTCATCTTCCTCCAAAAGCCCTCCTGGGTTTGATGTGGCTTATGGGAGGAGTTGGAACAGGGGACGACCAAACTGCTGAGTTATCTCTTGTATGCAGTGTGGCGTGTGTGTGTGTGTGTGTGTGTGTGACCGTCATCACGGTGTAATCCTGTGGAAATGAAAGGTGCTGCCGCGCACTGGCCGGGAGATAACAGCGCCGCTCTGTCGCGCTGCCAGGACGCACCACCCGGCTGAGAGAGCATCCCTCCGTAAAACACACACACCTCTGTGCGTTCTCGGTCCGGCCGTCCTCCTTGTTCTTTTTACGTCTCTCCTCTCCTGCAGCTTCATCACGTTATTTCCCGTCTTCCTCAGGTGGTGAAGTGGACGTGTCGGACCACGTCAGCGAGCCTCTGAAGAGTCCCTCTGTCTCAAACTAACTCCTCCGTCATCGTCGCCGCGGTTACTCGTATAAATCTGCTGAAGTCAAACAACTCTTTCTATTCAAATCTAAATACCGGGTTGGATGTTGAGAAGTAGTTGTGGCTGCTTGGGTCAAACCTGTATGTGACGTGCTGTGAACGACTCTCAGCTACTACCACACCAAGCTTTAGCTCGGCGCCTTTAAGATTCTCCGAGTCACAGACATGTTTGTTCTGCAGGAAGAAAAGGCTGAACTTGATTTAAAAGAGGGTGAAGATGATGGACGGGCAGAATTTGTTCCGAGTTTCATATTAATGGGTCATGAGATATTTTTCAGTTCAGTTTATTTCTAAAGCTCCAAGTCACAACAGAAGTCGTCTCAGGGCCTGAACAGAAACATTCATTTATAAAAATAATAATTTAACTTTATTTATCTGAGGAGCAGCTTTGAGTTTAACTCCATCACTGAACTCTCATCTTGAACAAGCATGAAGGCGACAGTGGAAAGAAAAACTCCCTCATGAGGAAGAAACCTTTAGCAGAACCAGGATCAGGACAAGCGTCCATCTTCTTCAACCGGCTGGGTTTGGTAAGAACAGATACACAATGGCAGGTTAAGATAGAAATAATCCATCCATCCATCCATTTTCTTCCGCTTATCCGGGGTCGGGTCGCGGGGGTAGCAGCCTAAGTAGGGAGGCCCAGACTTCCCTCTCCCCAGCCACTTGGGCCAGCTCTTCCGGGGGAATCCCGAGGCGTTCCCAGGCCAGCCGAGAAACGTAGTCCCTCCAGCGTGTCCTGGGTCTTCCCCTGGGCCTCCTTCCGGTGGGACGTGTCCGGAACACCTCACCAGGGAGGCGTCCAGAAGGCATCCTAAACAGATGCCCAAGCCACCTCAACTGGCTCCTCTCGATGTGGAGAAGCAGCGGCTCTACTCCGAGTCCCTCCCGGATGATCGAGCTTCTCACCCTGTCTCTAAGGGAGAGCCCAGACACCCTGCGGAGAAAACTCATTTCGGCCGCTTGTATCCGAGATCTCATTCTTTCGGTCACAACCCAAAGCTCGTGACCATAGATGAGGGTGGGAACGTAGATCGATCGGTAAATTGAGAGCTTCGCCTTTTGACTCAGCTCTCTCTTCACCACGACAGACCTGTACAGCGCCCGCTTCACTGCAGACGCTGCACCTATCCGCCTATCGATCTCACGCTCCATTTTTCCCTCATTCGTGAACAAGACCCCAAGATACTTGAACTCCTCCACTTGGGGTAGGACCTCCTCCCTGACCCAGAGAGGGCACTCTACCCTTTTCCGGCTCAAGACCATGGCCTCGGATTTGGAGGAACTGATCTTCATCCCGGCCGCATCGCATTCGGCTGCGAACCGCTCCAGCGAAAGCTGTAGATCACGATCTGATGAAGCCAATAAGACTACATCATCTGCAAAAAGCAGAGACGCAATTCTGAGGCCACCAAAACGGATCCCCTCAACACCTTGGCTGCGCCTAGAAATTCTGTCCATAAAAGTTATGAACAGAATCGGTGACAAAGGGCAACCTTGGCGGAGTCCAACTCTCACCGGGAACAAGCCCGACTTACTGCCGGCGATGCGGACCAGGCTCATGTTTCGTGCCTCTATTGTCGAGGCGGCTTACCAGAGCTGCGGCCGCAAGGTTGTCGGTGCCTGTCGGGGCGGCAACCCTCGAACCCGATGGTGGACACCGTCGGTGAGGGATGCTGTCAGGCTGAAGAAGGAGTCCTATCGGGCCTTTTTGGCCTGTGGGACCCTGGAAGCAGCTGATGGGTACCGGCAGTCCAAGCGACATGCGGCTCGGGTGGTTGCTGAGGCAAAAACTCGGGCATGGGAGGAGTTCGGAGAGGCCATGGAGAACGACTTCCGCACGGCTTCGAGACGTTTCTGGTCCACCATCCGGCGTCTCAGGGGGGGGAAGCGGTATGCCACCAACACTGTTTATAGTGGGGGTGGTTTGCTGCTGACCTCAACTCGGGATGTTGTGGGTCGGTGGGCGGAATACTTTGAAGACCTCCTCAATCCCACCGGCACGTCTTCCACTGAGGAAGCGGAGCCTGGGGACTCTGGGTCGGGCCCTCCAATCTCTGGTGCTGAGGTCACCGAGGTGGTTAAAAAGCTCCTCGGTGGCAGGGCCCCAGGGGTGGATGAGATCCGCCCAGAGTTCCTTAAGGCTCTGGATGTTGTAGGGTTGTGTTGGCTTACGCGACTCTGCAATGTTGCGTGGACATCGGGGGAAGTTCCCCTGGATTGGCAGACCGGGGTGGTGGTCCCCCTATTCAAAAAGGGGGACCGTAGAGTGTGTTCCAACTACAGGGGAATCACGCTCTTAAGCCTCCCTGGTAAGGTCTATTCGGGGGTTCTGGAGAGGAGGGTCCGTCGGATAGTCGAACCTCGGATTCAGGAGGAACAGTGCGGTTTTCGTCCTGGCCGTGGAACACTGGACCAGCTCTACACTCTCAGCAGGGTCCTGGAGGGTGCGTGGGAGTTTGCCCAACCAGTCTACATGTGCTTTGTGGACTTGGAGAAGGCTTTCGACCGCGTCCCTCGGGGGGCCCTGTGGGGGGTACTCTGGGAGTATGGGGTACCAGGCCCTTTGATACGGGCTGTTAGGTCCCTGTATGACAGGTGTCAGAGCCTGATAGAAATAATATCAAATGAAAACTATTCAATTTTAACAATTCATTTAAGGAAATTAGGTCAATTTGACCTCTAGTAGTCTAATCCTATAGCAGCATAAGATGCCAACCCTAACTATAGGATTTATCTAAAAGTAAAGTCTTAAACTGGACAATGTGTCAGCCTCACGGACAGAAACTGGAAGTTGGTTCCACAAGAGAGGAGCCTGAGAACTGAAAGATCTTCCTCCCATTCTGCTTCTGGAAACTCTAGGAACCACAAGTAAACCTGCAGTCTGAGAGTGAAGTGCTCTGTTAGTAAAATATGGAACAACAAGATCTGTAATATAAGATGGAGCTAGGTTGTTGAGGGCTTTGTAGGTTAGAAGTAAGATTTTGAATTCTATTCTGGATTTGACAGGGAGCCAATGGAGAGAAGCTAAAACTGGAGAGATATGATCTCTCCCAGTAACTCCAGTTAAGAATCTGGCAGCAGCATTTTGGATCAACTGAAGACGTTTTAAAGAAGTATTTGTACACCCAGATAATAAACCGTTGCAATAGTCCAGTCTAGACGTGACAAATGCATGGACCAGTTCTTCTGCATCATCTTTAGATCAGATGTTTCTAATGTTCTAATTTTGCTAACAGAGTTGATTCCAGTGTATTTTGATCCCGAGTGCTCCGAGTACCTCACCGTTTGTTCAGGCTGTGGTTCTGCCTGTTCTGTGTTTCGTGGCCCTCTGCTGGATCATTTCAAGCACACTTTCCTCCCAGAGGTGCTCCGTGTGTGTCGTCACGTTTAATCGTGGCCTCCCGCTGCGCTGCTTGACCTCGAGTGGTTCATGTTGTCGTCCAGACTCGTCTGCTTCGAGTCGACTCCACTTCTGGAAAAAGTTAATTTTTTCTCAGAAACGTTTCAGATTCTCTTCGATCGTCTGAACTTCATGGATAAATTCAGGCGCAGGTTTCCTTGAAGAGGTGCACAACTCACCGTCGTTTTGTGCCACGCTCGGCGCGTGCGATGTGAACAACTCTCAGCTACTACCACATCACACTGTATCTGTTAAATATGATGGACGTTGTGTTTGTTGAAATAAAACCGGACACGAGCTCCGGCACGATGGCTCCACTTCCAGCAGGTGAAGACGTCGAAGTTCGGCTGTTTGAGGAGTTTCTGTTCAAACGTAAACATGGACTGAAGCTTCCTGTTTTTGTTTGTTTGTTTGTTTGTTTATATGAAGGGCTGGCTCTGCGAGCTGCTGCGCTGGAAGGAGGATCCGTCTCCGGAGAACCGGACTCTCTGGGAGAACCTCTCCATGATCCGGCGCTTCCTGAGCCTCCCGCAGACCGAGCGCGACGCCATCTACGAGCAGGAGAGCAGCGCCAGCCAGCAGCACCACAGCGAGCGGCCCACGCACCTGATTCACGTCCCCACCGAGCAGCTGCAGGTGAGCGCCCGGCGTCCTCGGGTCCAAACGGGTCAGAACTTAATACGCTGGAAAAATACACGAAAAATTACCACAAATGCATAAAAACACAGCTTCTGTACTGGATTACATTTCTATTCTCACCAATTTACCTGAAATGTTGCAGAGATGAGAAGATGGGTAATAATGTTTGTGCCAGTCTTTGTGACTGTCTGTTAGCAAAATAACTCATGAACCACAGGATAGATTTTAATCACTTTCAGGTTTTCATTGTTTGACGTGCTTCAAAGTCTCCTTAACCTTTGGAGTCAACCTGGTGCAAGATGGCCGCCACAGCCAACTGACTTCAGGAAACAAAAAAATATCTAAAATTCAGTTGATTTTACAGACGTTGAGCTAAAATTTGGTGTGGTAGTAGCTGAGAGTCATTCACAATGTGTGACTTCTTGAAATAATGAAAAATAATTTTAGTTTAAAACAAAACGCATTCCTTCGAGAACTGCTTGACTTTTAATTTGGTAAATGGTTTATCTAATTGGAGAAAATGGAACTTTTTCAAACTTCCAATAAAAATTAAACCTATTTGCATCTGAATGAATTTTTACAAGAAGACAAAACCAATAAAACTCAAACAAATCACCATTTGTGTCCTTTTCTGCGTTTTCCACTAATATTCCAGGAAAACAAATAAACAAGTCTTCAGATTTATAATAAACTCGTGTAAATTAGAACCACAGCGACGCTTCAGAGTTGCTTCTTCTCAGCGAAAGCTGTTTTCAAAGATCTCATCAGGCTGAACTTATTTACCGGAGCTGCGTTCTACGAGACATCTGGCGTATGAATTGCAAATAACACAAAGGCTCCGTTAACGGCAGAAACATCTTAATGAAGTACAATAATACTCCGATTAAAAGTCCGCGCCACAGCTGAGCGCCTCACGCCTTGTTTGGCTCCTTGGATACACGGCCAGCCGTTTCACAAAGACTCCGCTTCACTGGAATTAAATAATTTAATCACATTTGTGCTGCAGATCCGTTTCGGCGGCAGATGAAATCCAAGAGTTTTCTACAAACAGAACCGGTTTTCAGATTGATAAAACGAGATTATTGCTGGATTAATGGTGCGGATCTGCACTGTCCATAAAAGACCAGTGTTTAAATACTTTGTGCCGCTCGTTCACCAACGTGACGCCGCAGCCACATCGGCTCACATTTGCTCGACGGGAACCATCAGGACTCCGTGGATGGGGTTCGTAAAAACCGTCTCTGGGCTCGTCCGTGCAGAGAGCTGCTTATGAAGCGCCATCGACAGCCTCTGGCTCAGATATGGGAATAAAAGAGCAGCCATTTTGTAAGGGGTCAACAGGGACCACGAGTCGCCCACTTGTCCACACACACACACACACACACAGCAGTGCGTCGTGTTTACACTAACGGGGCTGCGGCTAATCAGCCGAGCCATCGCAGCGCGGGCCGGCCTCGGGGAGCCGCTTCGCTCCCGTGTCTCTGCTGCTTCCACCCCGACGAGACGCACGATCTGCCATCGCCAGAAACACGAAGGGAAACGACACGTGAGAGACTTCTTCGAGGGAAACCTTCAACCAGGTGCTCGTTTCCAGATCAGCTGATCCGATGAAACGTTTCTGTAAAGATTAAGTTGGGTCATGTGGGGGTGGCTTTCTGGGTAAAACTGATAAATAGTTAACATCTTACCTGTTGTAGAAGAGCTACAGCTGGTCTGAACAAAGCTAAGACCAAAGTGGATCATTTTCTCTGCATGACGCAATCAGTTGGACAAAAATATGATGTTTGGTTTGGCCAGACGGGAGCCTGGATGAGGAGGTGCTTCCTGTCACCGCTGGATGAGCAGGGGGTGCTTCCCGTCACCGCTGGATGAGCAGGAGGTGCTTCCCGTCACCGCTGGATGAGCAGGAGGTGCTTCCCGTCACCGCTGGATGAGCAGTACAAATAACTACAAATCAGTCAATTTTACGGCTAATGAGCTCAAGTTAAGTGTAGAGGCAGCTGAGAGTCATCCTGAACACATAATCCAAGAGCCACAGGTGAGATTACCTGAGCTGAGACCAGCTGGTGAACAAAGACCATGAGGAGGTCTCCAGGAGCTTTGCTGCTGCCTCGTCTCATCGGTTCCACCTCACATGGCATCAGTTGAGGTTCTCCAGTAGACAGGAATGACCTGTGCAGCAAAACTACATCTGGACCTCCACTTCCTGTCTCATTGTGTTGAGTGACAGGTGTTTTTTGATGGTCCCTGGTATGGAGGCTCCAGAAGTAGTTCCACGGACCATCGATGAGGTCCAGACCTTCCGAACTTTACTGGCCGATGTTTGGATCAGCTGAGCTGGACGGCGCCACAAGAAATGAGCTCATTGGCAGAGATATCAGGGATGATGGTGCAGCGTGGCTACACCCGGACACTGCCGGGATAATCTAACCAAGTGGAAGTTTGATTATAGAGCGAGACAACAGGTGGAGCGGCTCCAACACAATGACCTGTTAAGATCCCGCCCACAGAGCGCGGAATCGAGCGGCAAGTCACCTGAGAAGAACCGAGAAGACGAGTGGAGCCGCACTCATCAACGATGAAGCAGCTTTATGTAGTTTTCAACTGAGAGTCACGGAGGCGTACGTCTGATCTAAATAAAGGTTGATTGATTGATTGATTGATTGATCCATCGAGTTCAAAAAGTGAGCCACAAATTCTCTCGATACAGTTTCCGATGCGTCTCCAACTCGTCTCAAAGCTGTTTGGAGTTCTCCTCAGACAGAAACGTGGTCTGAAATCTAAAAACATAAATAGCAAAGGCTGAAAAACGGCCTTCGTTTTAAAGGAGCAAATTAATCCATAAATCTGGGGGGGGGGGGGTCGAGGTGGGTACGAGGTGGACAACAGAATAATGTGCACAGCCAAGAATGCAGTTTACAAAAGTAAGCTCTGATTTTCAAAACGCAGCTTGAAGCCTCGCTGACAGAAACGTCAGAATAATCCGGCTAATCTGAGCAGCTCAGTGAAGTTCTGCCCCTCCGTTTGTGCAGGATGTGCGAACCAGTGGGGGGCATTCCTTCAAGGAGGCCAGAATAATCTGGAGATGCTTTTCCTCTAAAATCCAGAATAATCTGGAGATGTTTTTCCTCTAAAATCCAGAATAATCTGGAAACACTTTTCCTCTAAAATCCAGAATAATCTGGAGACACTTTTCCTCTAAAATCCAGCATAATCTGGAGAAACATTCCCACTGAAGTCCAGATTATCTGCTAACCTCTGCTCTCCTGTTTTCTCCTCCACAGTCTCAGCAGACTCAGATGCAGCAGCACCAACCCTCCCTGTCCCTCCACCCCTCCCAGCCTCTTCTGTCCCAGCAGCCCCTGCAGCTGCAGCAGCCGACCCCCGGCCCCCGGCTGCCGCCCCGCCAGCCCTCCACCGCCTGCCCGGCTGAACTGGAGGACGAGGGTGGCCGCGTGAAGTCCCGCGGCAGCGGGGGGAAGATCTCCCTGGAGGCCCTGGGGATCCTGCAGAGCTTCATCCAGGACGTGGGCCTGTACCCCGACGAGGAGGCCATCCACACCCTGTCGGCCCAGCTGGACCTACCCAAGCTCACCATCATCAAGTTCTTCCAGAACCAGCGCTTCTACGTCAACCACCCGGCCAAGGCGCCCAAAGAGCCGAGCAGCAACAACGGCAGCAGCAGCAACACGGCGGCCAACAGCAGCAGCAGCAGCAGCAGGAGCAGCCCCGCCTTCGACGAGGAGCTGACGGACTTCAGGGAGAGCGGGGAGCTGCTGAAGGAGCTGGACGAGAGCACGCAGACCAACAGCACCATCTTCTCCATCAAGATGGAGGAGCAGCTGAGCCGAGGAGCCGAGGCTCAGGCCGAGTCGGAGCACGAGGTCAAAGAGTAGACTCCTCCCCCCACGCAGATTCATAAAGAATAGACTCCTCCCCCCACGCAGATTCAATCATGGACTGTGAGGTTCTGCTGCAGAACCCGACTGAAGGCTGCAGAACCGCTCAGACTGAAGAGCAGCGGGGTTCTGACGGCGCCTGAAGGAGGCGTGAGGCGTTCACACACTGGAAAACGTTTCGGACGTTCTACTTTTTGAATTTTGTAAAACTTGTAAAGACTCATGCATCATTTTAATAATCTGCACAAAATAAAAGTTCTTGTAAGTTTGTTGCCGTGGAAACGTTGCTGGCTGCACTCGATGTACGTTGTTTTACACTGACTTCTGTTGTCGAGCTACTGATTCTGTTCAGAAAGAAAAAAAAAAAAAATCCCCGGGAGTTTGATCGTCGTCCTGTAATGTTCAACTGGAGTTCGTTTTTTTAATTTTCAAACGGCGAATGAAATCGAGGACCAAGCGGTTGTGAAGGCCTTAACGTGAGGTTCAGAGTCTGGATCCTGCTGGAGGACGAGTCCAGAGCGTCTCACAGAACAGCTCAGTCTCTACTTATTACCCGTTAGGGAAGATATATAATATAAATATATATAGACATTATATTGTAACTGTAAAAAAAAAAGAAACTATGCCAACAAATGCCTTGTACGATACGGCACTGCCGGTGTTAGATTATTTTGCAGAACTTCCGTCACTGTAACTGAATCGCCACACGTACAAATGTGAATTAAACTGTTTATGTTGTCCGACATTATTTATTTCATGTAATTAGTCTCGATTGTTTAAACTTTGTCACAACTTTTTTTTTCTTTTAATCCCTCCTGTTTTTGTTCTATTTATAAATGTGATTCGAATGGGCAGTAAAAACAAAAAGTGTCTTAAACGTCTTCAGTGGAGAAATGTGCTTTAAATCGCGCTACGAGCTTCACAATTATTGTCGTATGCAATTTTTACTATCATGCAAATAAGCTGAGGTGGAAACGACTGACCTGCAGAAGAGCTGGGGGGGGGGGGGACATATGCAATCTGTGATGTCGGCGACGCGTCTTCCTTTGGTTAACGACCCGCTTCAGAAAGTGTAAAAAAAACTCCTGTACAGTCTTTCTTTTTTTACATCGCTCGCCTCGATGAGAGCTCCGGTTATTTTGTTACGACTGTTTTTCTAAGTGTTCCTCGGTTCCTCTGCAGAAATGCTCCGACTAGAAGTGGTTGTTCATTAAACTGTTTGTATTGTTCCTCACCTTTCTTGGCATTGACTCGAGCGGCGGAGTTCGGACGATGTGACGTGTTTTTGCAGCCGGGCGTGTGTGTGTGTGCGCGTGCGTGTGTGTGGTTTGTAATAACTGTAAATATCACATCCTATGAGTCACTGATTGTTTATTATTTGTAAATATATTTGAAGTTTGTGAGCGCGTGCCTCTTTGAGCGCCTGTACCTGCAGCGCCGCTTCTGCAACACCTGTCAAAACTGAAATCAATAAAGTGGGAGGTGTGAACACCTGGAGCGAGGAGTTCAGATGTTACGCACACACACACACACGGCGCAGGTGTCCTGACCTCACCGTGACCTCACCTGTTAGACAATCGTCTCTTTGTGATTCTGAAAAAGACAAAGTGGAAGCGTGTTGAAGCGACTCGCACCTGTCAGACGCTCCGAGGTGATGATCGGAGGACAGCGGGGTGAAAACACGACGCGGCGCCGTTCAGCTCCACTTCTGCGTCTTGTGTTTTGTTCTGCGTTCAGACGAGTTCGAGACTGACAGAGGTGCCAACAAACCTCAGCAGCTGCAGCGTTTTATCATTATCGCCGTTTTCACCACGATCCGACTAAAAGTTTTCACCCCCAGGACGGGTTCTGGTGTTACGGGGCGGGGGCAACCACACTCTGTTTAATACTGATTAAAGATGTAAATTAACCTCGAGTTATCAATTTAATTTCATGTTTACAACATATCAAATAAAAACAGCTGATTGAAGAAAATACACCAGAAGTGTATTTTAACACGTCTTTACTTCTGCTGCTGCAAAAATGACGGTTTTTATGTCAGACCAGATCAAATCAATGATCAGCTCTTGTAAAACGAGAACAAAAGCAAAGTGTACAAAGGAAGAAGATGAGATCTTGTGCTCTCAATCCGATCTTGAGTTTTTAATCTGGATTATCTGGTAGAAACCGACCGGTCGACCTCGGTTCTGGTCGTTAACGCGATGACTTGGATACAAGACGTTTAAATCCTTCAGCGTCATCAGTAAAATGTCAAATAATCCAAACGTGAAGAAGCAGCGAGGTCGTATGTTTTGTTCCCGTCACAAGAAAGGGGCAAAGAGGAAAAAAATTAACTCGAGTCTGTTGCCCTGAGGCACACCAGGAGTTCAGCTGGGTTTTGTTTTTTTTGTCGCTGCTTCCACATTAAAATCAAACTTCAAGCTGCTCCTTTTCTCAAAACAAAAACAGTTTCAGCTCTAATGCAGTTAAAATATGAACTTGAGGGCGGAGCCAGACGTGGCCCATGGGCCTTCAGTTTGACACCCAGAGGGCAGAGAGAGGTTCCAGATTGTGACTGGAAGCTGCAGGCGGCTTCAGAACCTGGACGGGTTTTAACTTCCACTCTGAAGCTGAATCACGTCAAGCCTCACGTGCTCAGATAGAAATAATTACGGCACAAATGGTGACTGATGAGTCACCGAAGCTCTTACCTGGAGCGCCTCGCGCTGCTACGAGTGATGTTTAAATTATTGGGCTGCATTAGAAGCGGAGCGCCCGCCGCTCCTTTTAGACGTGGATAAAAAACAAACGGCATCTTCTTGTGATATTTGTAGAAGTCCTCCGTGTCGGAGCAAACAAGCAGCTTCCACATGAAGCGTCAGGCTGACGCACGTGTGTGGTGGAGCTGGGTGGGTTCTAAATAAAGTTGAATTTGAACAGGGACATGTTTGGTTTGCAGCGACTCAAAGAAGCTGGTGGTGGTTTTCGTTATAAAAGGTTACTCTTAAAGTAAAGTACTTCTGATCGATTACTGTATAAGAGCATCAAATTGTACGTGATTAAGATTATTATTATCAGGGAAAATGTAATAAAAGTAAAAACTCCGCTGCTCCTCCACATCCAGAGGAGCCAGTTGAGATGGGTCAGACATCTGGTAAGAACGGAGCCTTTGGGGAGGTTTTCCAGGCCCAGGACCCCAGACTCCATCTCTCTGCTGGTCTGAGAACACATGGAGTCCTCCCAGGAGACCTGGAGGAGGTGGCTGTGGAGAGAGATGTTCAGAGGTCCCTGCTCAAAAGACCTGAGTCCAGAAAAAGATGATGGATGGATAATGGATTTATGATGGATGGATGGATGATAGATGGATAGCTGATGGACGGATGATATATGATGGATAGATGATAAATGAATGGATGATGGGTGATGGATGGATGGATGGCTGATGCATGAATGGCTGGATGATATATGATGGATAGATGATGAATGAATGGATGATGGGTGATGGATGGATGATGTATGATAGATGATGGATGGATGGAGGATGGGTGGATGGATGGATGGACGATGGATTATGGATGGATGATGGATAATGATGATGATGAATAGATGGTGGATAGATGGATGGATAGATGATGAAATATGATGTATGATGATGTATGATGATATATGTATGATGGATGTTTGATGATGTATGATGGATGTATGATGATGTATAATGGATGGATGGATGCATGATGTGTGATGATGTATGATGGATGTATGTATGTATGATGTATGATGGATGAATGATGGATGATGTATGATGGATGTATGATGGATGCATGTATGATGGATGTATGATGGATGATGTATGATGTATGTATGATGTATGATGGATGGATGATGGATGATGCATGGATAGATGTATGATGTATGATGGATGATGTATGATGGATGCATGTATGATGGATGTATGATGGATGATGTATGATGGATGTATGTATGATGTATGATGGATGGATGATGGATGATGCATGGATAGATGGATGATGTATGATGGATGATATATGATGGATGTATGATGGATGTTGTATGATGGATGGATGTATGATGGATGATGTATGATGGATGCATGTATGATGGATGTATGATGGATGGATGTATGATGGATGTATGGATGTATGATGAATGATGCATGGATAGATGGATTATGTATGATGGATGGATAGATGGATGATGGCTTGTATCTTTTTGTATGAATTATTTTTGTTTTGGGATTTTATATTTGTCTAAATATTTATGTTTATTTACTAAAACCTTGTGTATAAAATTAAACTGATTTTTCAGTTAAAAAAAATTATTTGAATGTTTTCTGTTTCCTGTTAGCTTTTTGTTTCTGTTGCTAATTTAAGTTTACACAGTTTTAAATTTAGCTTATACCATGTTAATCTTTGCAGCTAACTGTTGTTCATCTTTGGTTTTAGCTTTTGTTACTTTTAATTTTCAGCTGCTGTTTGGCTAATTGTAGCTTTTAGCTTTTGTTTCATTCATTTTAGCTAGGGCTGTGCTAATTTTCTGTTTTGTTAATGTTTAGCTCATTTTGCACTTTTGCTAACTTTGGCCTTTAGCTACTGTTTTGCTTATTATAACTTTTAGGTGATGTTTTACCAATTCTATCTTTATTTTTGTTCTGTAATGCCTACATTTTACTTTTCAGCTTTTGTTTTATTACTTTTTGCATTTAGCCTCTGCGTTGCTCGTTTTAGGCTTTAGCTACAATTTTGCTAGTCATAGTTTTAGCTTGAGCATTTGTTTAGCATCTGTTTGATTTTGGCTGCTATTTGGTTAATTTAAGCTTTTAGCTATGGAGCAATACTGCTTTTAGATTTTTGCTAAGTTTAGCTTTAACCTGCTGCAGCTCTCGCTTTTAGCTTCTGTTTAGCTGGTTTTACCTTTAACAATCTGACAGCTCCCAACGAAGTCCTTCGGCTCTCAGCGGCATTTTCACATAAAACACATTTTCTCTGCTTTTCTTTGCACATTTTCTTTCCACTGCTCGTCCATCTTGAAGCTGCGTCCAGAAATAAAGCCCGGCTTGTTCTGGAAAACTGTCAGATCAGAGTTAAAGAGGCAAAAACAGACAAAAGCTTCTGCAAAAGATGGTTCAGAACAACAACAAACATTTAACTGAAGCGCACAGTTTGAAGCTGAACCAGCAGCGGCGGCGAGTCAGTGGAGGAACGTGAATTATTTTGTGTTGCAGGAAAGACGCACATCTGCAGCACGAACGTATTTAAAGACTGCAAACCGTGCACGCTCCACTGAACACAATCCCCCAGAGAACGCTTGAAGACGTCAATCAAAAGTGAACGTTTCCACGTCAGAAACTGAAGGAAACTGAAGGAAACGGCAGCTTCAGGAGCAAACGTCTTAATTATGCTTTCTTTTTAAACTTTTGAGCCACCGTAATGAAGACTTGGAGTTCTGGAAGGAGCCAGTGTTTGGTGCTTCTTGCAGACATTTTTTCTGCTAAATAATCCATCGCTTTGTGTAAAAGCTTATATCTAAAGAAATCCATGATCTGGTGCTGAAAATGTTTATTTCCAGCTGCAGAGAAGATCTTAAGATAAACTAAAGGCTTGAATGTTTGAACTGAACCTTTGAAATGGACTTAGTCAAACAAGAGGTTTCAATTTCTTCAGGTTCTTGATTGTGGCTGCACCTGTGAAGGTGTGGGTTTCAAGGCCTGCGTGATGACACTTGCTGACGTTTGCCCCCAAATTTATTTCTGTTATAATTTACTTTTGTTTAAAAATCACTATTAGCAAACTGCACTTCTGCCCAACACTGTAGTCCACACAAATGTTTAAGCTTTATTAAACCAGGTTTTATTGCAAACAGGTCGAGTTGGGTCAAAAAAAAAAAAAAAAAACACCATGAAGGTCAAAATCAGTAAATGTAACAAGTTAACCGGCTGTGGTTGAGCAGCAATTTCTAAAATTCCTGTTTCATAGGTCATAAATGGACCCAAGAAATGGAAAAAGAAATGCAATTAAACAGATCAGTATTATCTGAAACATTCCAAATGATGATGATGATCTGAAGCATGAAATCTGTTAAGATTTAATGTTTAAGTTTGTTATGTTTAATACTTTTTAATGCATTTTGTAAAATAATTAAAACATGCTTTTATTGTCTAAAACGGTGCAAAACAAG